CAATCCAGATACTGTTTCATTTCTTTCATGCCTCAAATTTAGGGACCATCGCTTTCTTTCATGCCTCAATAATTACACCACATTTAGGGACAAGACAATCAGATAATGTTTCATTTCTTTCCATGCCTCAAATCACCACGATTACAATAATTACACCACATTTAGGGACAAAGACAATCAGATGCTGTTTCATTTCTTTTCCATGCCTCAAAAATCACCACGCTTACAATAATTACACCACATTTACCCCGACAAGACAATCAGATATTGTTTCATTTCTTTCATGCCTCAAATCATCACGATTTTAATAATTACACCACATTTTCAGGGACAAAGACAATTTTAGATATTGTTTCATTTCTTTCCATGCCTCAAATGACCACGATTACAATAATTACACCACATTTGAGACAAGACAATCCAGATACTGTTTCATTTCTTTCATGCCTCAAATCTTCCAGATACTGATTATGCCTCAATAATTACAATAATTACACCATTTAGGGACAGAACAATCAGATACTGTTTCATTTCTTTCCATGCCTCAAATCACCACGATTACAATAATTACCCACATTTTTCTTTCAAAGACAATCAGATACTGTTTCATTTCTTTCATGCCTCAAATTTTTGCGATTACAATAATTACACCACATTTAGAGGCAACAACAATCAGATACTGTTTCATTTCTTTCCATTTGTTCAAATCATTCGATTACAATAATTTACACCACATTTAGGGACAAGACATACAGATACTGTTTCATTTCTTTCATGCCTCAAATGACCACGCTTACAATAATTACACCACATTTTAGAGACAAGACAATCAGATAATGTTTCTTTCTTTCCATCACCACGATTACAAATCACCACGGTTTAACAATAATTACACCATTTTTAATTTCTTTTCAATCAATACTGTTTCAAGACAATCTTTTCATTTTTTCAAATCAAATCACCACGATTATGCTTTACACCACATTTGGGATCGGACAATCAGATACTTTTTCATTTCTTTCCATACCTCAAATCACCTCTACAATAATTACACCACATTTAGGGACAAGACAATCAGATATTTTTTCATTTCTTTTCCCATGTTTCAATAGTCACTGTTTAAGGACAAGACAATCAATACTGTTTCATTTCTTTCTTTCTTTTCTTTCCACGATCAAGACAATCCCTCCACATTTCATTTCTTTCCATGCCTATGTTTTATGCTGATTTCTTTCCATGCCTCAATTCCCATACCTCATCCATTTACACCACATTTAGGGACAAGACAATCAGATACTGTTTCTTTTTTTTCCCTCTTTCTATTTTATTCACCACGATTACAATAATTACACCACATTTCTTTCCAAGACAATCAGATTCTTTTTTTTTTCTTTCCATATTTCTTTCCTGCAAATCTTTTAATTACAATATTTACACTACAGATTCTTCCATTTCAAGGTTTACAGGATATAAATCTTTACTTTTTTCTTTCTTTCCTTCTTTCTTTCTTTCTTTCAATAATTTTCATTTCTTTGACATATTTAAGGACAAGACAATCAGATACTGTTTTTTTCTTTCCATACATCAAATTTTACTTTAACAATCCATGTTTCACCATATTTTTGGACAAGATAATCAGATCTTTTCATTTCTTTCTTTCTTTTTATTCTTTCTTTCTTTCAGATGCCTTTCTTTCCTCCCTCAAATCACTTTCTTTTTTCTTTTTGAGACATTAATTTTTGCTGTTTCATTTCTTTCCATGTTCAAATCTTTATAATGCTGATACCAGGTTTCTTTCTTTCTTTTCTTTCTTTGTTTTCTTTCTTTCCATTCTTTTGGCTTGCCACGATTCCAATAATTATTCCACATTTTTTTCTTTCTTTCATTAATTTTTGCTTTCTTTCCATACAACATTCTTTCTTTGGGGACAGCAATCGAATTCTTTTTTTCTTTCTTTTCTTTCTTTCTTTGTTTTCTTTCTTTTCTTTCTTTCTTTTCCAATTGGCCCTTTCTTTCCATACCTCAAATCATTCTTTCTTTTTTTCTTTCACATTTCGGGACAAGACAATCAGATCCATGTTTCATTCTTTCTTTGCTTAGCTTTCTTTCTTTCTTTCTTTCTTTCTTTGGCCCTTTCTTTCCTCCATGATTCTTTCTTTTTCTTTCTTTCCATTAGCCCTTTCTTTCTTTCTTTCTTTCTTTCTTTCTTTCTTCTGTTTCATTTTTCGCGCCTCAAATGACCACGATTGTAATAATTACAAGACAATGGAACATTTTTCCAGGAAATCACCATTGATTACAAGACAATCAAGATACTGTTTCATTTTTCTTTCATGCCTCAAATGACCACGATTACAATTAATTACACCCACATTTAGGGACAAGATTTGATAATGGGACAACGATTGGCAATCATTGATTCACATTTAGGACAAGAGCAATCAGATTGTTTTCCGCCCTCAAAATGACCACGATTACAATAATTACCCCACATTTAGGGACAAGACAATCTGTTTCATTTTCATGCCTCAAATCATGATTACAATAATTATAACGCATTTAGGGATACGACATACAGATTTTCCATTTCTCCTGCCTCAAAATGACCACGATTACAATAATTACACCACATTTAGAGACAAGACAATCAGATACTGTTTCATTTCTTTTCCATACCGATCAAATTTCTTTCATTTAGGGACTTTCTTTTCTTCGCAGTTCTTTCTTTTTTTTCTTTCTTTCATTAATTTTTGCTTTCTTTTTCCATATTTTCATTCTTTCTTTGGCCTTTCTTCTTTCTTTCTTTCTTTCTTTGACCCTTTCTTTCTCTCCGCAGTTCATTTCTTTTCTTTCACTACATTAATTTTGCTTCTTTCCATGTTTCCATTCTTTCTTTGCTTTCTTTCTTTCTTTCTTTCTTTCTTTCTTTCTTTCTTGTTTTGACCCCTTTCTTTCCCTCCATGATTCTTTCTTTTTTCTTTCTTTCATTAATTTTTGCTTTTTTCCATGTTTCATTCTTTCTTTCTTTTCTTTCTTTCTTTCTTTCTTTTTCTTTCTTTTCTTTCTTTCCATGATTCTTTCTTTTCTTTCTTTGTAATTTTTGCTTTCTTTCCATGATTCTTTCTTTTTTGTAGCTTTCTTTCTTTAATTTTTCTTTCTTTCCCCTTTCTTTCTTTCCAATTTGCTCTTTCTTTTTTTCTTTCTTTCTTAATTTTATTTTTCTTTCCATGTTTCTTTCTTTTTCTTTGTGGCTTTCTTTTCGTTCTTTTTCTTTCTTTTATTAATAATTTTCTTTCTTTCTTTTCTTTCTTTCACCCTTTTTTCCCTCCATTCTTTCTTTTCTTTCTTTTTTCTTTCTTTCTTTTTTGCTTTCTTTTTCTTTCTTTCTTTCTTTCTTTTTTCTTTTTTCTTTCTTTGGCCCTTTCTTTCCCTCCATGATTCTTTCATTTTTTCTTTTTTCATTAAATTTTTTCTTTCTTTCTTTCTTTCTTTCTTTCTTTCTTTCTTTTTTTCTTTTTCTCCCTCCATATTCTTTCTTTTTTTCTTTCTTTCATTAATTTTGCTTTCTTTTTCCATGTTTCATTCTTTCTTTGTTTCTTTCTTTCTTTCTTCTTTCTTTCTTTCTTTCTTTCTTTCTTTCCCTCCATGATTCTCTTTTTTCTTTTCTTTTTCATTAATTTTTTGCTTTCTTTCCATGTTTCATTTTTTTTCTTTCTTTCTTTCTTTCTTTCTTTTCTTTCTTTCTTTTCTTTCTTTCTTTGGCCCTTTCTTTCCCTCATGATTCTTTCTTTTTTTCTTTCTTTCATTAATTTTTTGCTTTCTTTTTTCCATGTTTTTCATTCTTTCTTTGTGGCTTTCTTTCTTTCTTTCTTTCTTTCTTTCTTTTCTTTTTTGGTCCTTTCTTTCCTTCCATGATTCTTTCTTTTTCTTTCTTTCATTAATTTTGCTTTCTTTTTCATGTTTCATTCTTTCTTTGTAGCTTTCTTTCTTTCTTTCTTTCTTTCTTTCTTTCTTTGGCCCTTTCTTTCCCTCCATGATTCTTTCTTTTTTTCTTTCTTTCATTAATTTTTTGCTTTCTTTCCATGTTTCATTCTTTCTTTTGTAACTTTCTTTCTTTCTTTTTTCTTTCTTTTCTTTCTTTCTTTTCTTTTCTTTGGCCCTTTCTTTCCCTCCATTCTTTTTTCTTTCTTTTTTCTTTCTTTCATTATTCCATTTTCTTTCTTTCTTTCTTTCTTTCTTTCTTTCTTTCTTTCTTTCTTTCTTTGACCCTTTCTTTCCCTCCATGATTCTTTCTTTTTTTCTTTCTTTCATTAATTTTTGCTTTCTTTCCATGTTTCATTCTTTCTTTGTTTCTTTCTTTCTTTCTTTCTTTCTTTCTTTCTTTCTTTCTTTTTCTTTCCCTCCATGATTCTTTCTTTTTTTCTTTCTTTCATTAATTTTTGCTTTCTTTCCATGTTTCATTCTTTCTTTGTAGCTTTCTTTCTTTCTTTCTTTCTTTCTTTCTTTTTCTTTCTTTCTTTCTTTGGCCCTTTCTTTCCCTCCATGATTCTTTCTTTTTTTCTTTCTTTCATTAATTTTTGCTTTCTTTCCATGTTTCATTCTTTCTTTGTAGCTTTCTTTCTTTCTTTCTTTCTTTCTTTCTTTTTTCTTTCTTTCTTTGACCCTTTCTTTCCCTCCAATTCTTTCTTTTTTCTTTCTTTTTCATTAATTTTTGCTTTCTTTCCATGTTTCATTCTTTCTTTTAACTTTCTTTTTTCTTTCTTTTCTTTCTTTCTTTTTTTTTTTTTTTTGACCCTTTCTTTCCCTCCATGATTCTTTCTTTTTTATTTCTTTCATTAATTTTTGACCATGATTCCATGTTTCATTCTTTCTTTGTAGCTTTTTTCTTTCTTTCTTTCTTCTTTTCTTTCTTTTCTTTTCTTTCTTTCTTTTCTCCCTTTCTTTTCCTTTTTTTTCTTTCTTTTTTTCTTTTTGATTTTCTTTAATTTTTTATTCTTTCCATGTTTTCTTTTCTTTCTTTTAGGTTTCTTTCTTTTCTTTCTTTTCTTTCTTTCTTTCAAATCTTTCTTTCTTTCTTTGGCTTTTTTTCTTTCTTTCCATGTTTCATTCATTTCTTTTGCCTCATTCTTTCATTTTCTTTTTCTTTCTTTTCATGTTTCATTCTTTCTTTTTTTCTTTCTTTCTTTTCTTTTCTTTGTTTCTTTTTCTTTTTTTTCTTTCTTTTTCCCTCTTTCTTAAATTTTTTCTTTCTTTCCATTTTCTTTTTTTCTTTCTTTTGGCCTTTTCATTTATTCTTTTCTTTCTTTTTTTCTTTTCTTTCTTTAATTTTGCTTTCTTTCCATCCATTCTTTCTTTGTCTTTCTTTTCTTTCTTTCTTCTTTCTTTTTCTTTCTTTCATTAATCTTTCTTTCTTTCCTCTTTCCCTCTTTTTTCTTTCTTTCTTTCTTTTGCTTTGTTTTTTTTCTTTGACCCTTTCTTTGGTCTTTCTTCATAGTGACCTTTTTTTCTTTCTTTCATTAATTTTTGCTTTCTTTCCATTCCATTTTTTCTTTGTAGCTTTCTTTCTTTCTTTTTTCTTTCTTTCCTAATAATATTTCTTTTTTCTTTTTTCTTTCTTTCTTTAATTTTTGCTTTCTTTTTCCCTCCATGATTCTTTCTTTTTTCTTTCTTTTTTCTTTTTTTTGCTTTCTTTCTTTATTTCATTCTTTCTTTTGAAATAGCATTATTTTCATTTCTTTTTCCATTTTCTTTTTCTTTTTCTTTCTTTCATTCTTTTTGCTTTCTTTTTCTTTCTTTCATTTCTTTTTTTGCTTTTTTTCCATTTTCATTCTTTCTTTGTAGGGATCTTTCTTTCTTTCTTTTCTTTCTTTCTTTCTTTCTTTCTTTTGGCCCTTTCTTTCCCTCCATGATTCTTTTCTTTTTTCTTTCTTTCATTAATTTTGCTTTTCTTTTTCCACTGGGTTTTTCTTTTTTTTAAAACTCTTTCTTTTTTCTTTCTTTCTTTCTTTCTTTCTTTCTTTGGCCCTTTCTTTCCCTCCATGATTCTTTCTTTTTTTCTTTCTTTCATTAATTTTTGCTTTCTTTCCATGTTTCATTCTTTCTTTGTAGCTTTCTTTCTTTCTTTCTTCTTTCTTTTCTTTCTTTCTTGGCCCTTTCTCCCTCCATGATTCTTTTCTTTTTTCTTTCTTTCTTAATTTTGCTTTCTTTCCATGTTTCATTTTTCTTTCTTTTTGCAGTTTCTTTTCTTTCTTTCTTTTCTTTCTTTCTTTCTTTCTTTCTTTGGCCCTTTTTCCTCCAGTTCATTCTTTCTTTTTCTTTCTTTTCATTTTTTTTCTTTCTTTCCATTGTCTTGCTTCTTTGATATTTCTTTCTTTCTTTCTTTTTTCTTTCTTTTCTTTTCTTTTTTTTTCTTTTGTTTCGTATTTTGATTTCTTTTTTCAATTCTTTTTTTTTTTTTCTTTCTTTCCATTCTTTCTTTTCTTTGATTTGTAAACTTTCTTTTCTTTCCAATAAATCTTTCTTTCTTTCTATATTTCTTTCTTTCTTTCTTTCTTTCCTCATTCTTTCTTTTTTTATTTCTTTCTTTAATTTTTCTTTCTTTCTTTTTCTTTCTTTCTTTCATTATTTCTTTCCTTCAGTTCTTTCATTTTTCTTTTTTTTCTTTCTTTGGCCTTTTTGCTTTCTTTTTTTTTTTTTTTTTCTTTTTTTTCTTACTTTTTTTCTTTCTTTCCATTTCATAGTCTTTCTTTGTATCTTTATGAAAAGAAATTTTTCTTTTTTCTTTTTTTCTATTAATTTTGACCTTTTCCCTCCATTTCGTTCTTTCTTTCTTTCAATTAATTTTCTTTCTTTTCATTTCTTTCTTTTATTTCTTTCTTTCTTTCTTTCTTTGTGGCCCTTTTTTTCCCTCCATGATTCTTTCTTTTTTATCTTTCTTTCATTAATTTTTGTTTTCCTTTCCATGTTTCATTCTTTCTTTAACTTTCTTTCTTTCTTTTATTTTCTTTCTTTTCCTTTAAATTTTTCTTTTTCTTTGGCCCTTTCTTCCCTCCATGATTCTTTTTTTTTTTCTTTCTTTTCATTAATTTTTTCATGCTTTCTTTTCCATGTTTTCTTCTTTCTTTTCTTTTTTTTTTCTTTTCTTTCTTTTGTTTTTTTTCTTTCTTTTTCTTTCTTTCTTTCATTAATTTCTTTTCCCTCCATGATCTCTTTCTTTTTTTCTTTTTTTTTTTTCTTTTTTTGCTTTTCTTTCCATGTTTTTTCTTTCTTTCTTTAGAACTAGATTCTTCTTTTTTTCTTTCTTTGTTTCTTTCTTTCTTTCTTTCTTTGTTTCTTTCCCTCCATTCATTCTTTCTTTCTTTTTTCTTTCTTTCATTAATTTTTTGCTTTCTTTCCATGTTTCTGCGATTTTCTTTGTAGCTTTCTTTCTTTCTTTCTTTTTTTTATTTTTCTTTCTTTCTTTCTTTCTTTGACCTTTCTTTCCCTCCATGATTCTTTCTTTTTTCTTTCTTTCTGGAAATTTTTTGGTTTCTTTCCATGTTTCATTCTTTCTTTTCCATTTTCTTTTTCTTTTCTTTCTTTCTTTCTTTCTTTTTCTTTCTTTTTCTTTGGCTTTCTTTCTTTTCCCTCCATGATTCTTTCTTTTTCTTTTTTTTCATTCCATTTTGCTTTCTTTCCATGTTTCATTCTTTCTTTGTAACTTTCTTTCTTTTTTTCTTTTCTTTTTCTTTCTTTCTTTCTTTTCTTTGTCCTTTCTTTTCCTCCATGATTCTTTCTTTTTTTCTTTCATTAATTTTTTGCTTTTTTTTCCATGTTTCATTTCTTTCTTTTGTAGCTTTCTTTCTTTCTTTCTTTCTTTTCTTTCTTTTGCCCTTTTTCTTTCCCTCCATAATTCTTTCTTTTTTTTCTTTTCTTTCATTAATTTTTGCTTTCTTTCCATGTTCATTTCATTTCTTTTCTTTCTTTCTTTTTTCTTTCTTTCTTTTTTCTTTCTTTTCTTTCTTTGACCCTTTCTTTCCCTCCATGATTCTTTCTTTTTTCTTTTTCTTTCTTTCCATGTTAATTCTTTCTTCTTTTTTTTCTTTCCATGTTTCATTCTTTCTTTTCTTTTCTTTCTTTTCCCTTTTCTTTACTCCATGATTCTTTCTTTTTTTCTTTCTTTCCTTAATTTTTCTTTCTTTCCATGTTTCCATTCTTTTCCTCTTTCTTTTTTCTTTCTTTTCATTAATTTTGCTTTTCTTTCCATTATTCTTTCTTTTCTTTCTTTCATTAATTTTGCTTTCTTTTTCCATGTTTCTTTCTTTTTTTAGCTTTTTCTTTCTTTCTTTCTTTCTTTTTCTTTCTGGTAAATTTCTTTTTCCTCCATGATTCTTTCTTTTTTCTTTCTTTTTCATTAATTTTTTTTCTTTCTTTCTTTCCATCGAATCTTTCTTTCTTTCTTCTCTTTCTTTTCTTTCTTTTTCTTTCTTTTTTTTCTTTCTTTGATTTCCTTTCTTTCCTCCATGATTCATTTTTGTTTTTTCTTTCTTTCATTTAATTTTTTTTTTCTTTCCATGATTTCTTTCTTTTTTTTCTTTCTTTTTTCTTTTGTTTCTTTCTTTCTTTCTTTTCTTTCTTTCTTTTCTTTTTCTTTCCCCTCCATGATTCTTTCTTTTTTCTTTCTTTCATTAATTTTTTTCTTTTCTTTCCATGTTTCATTCTTTCTTTCTTTTGTTTCTTTCTTTCTTTCTTTCTTTCTTTCTTTCTTTTCTTTCTTTCTTTCTTTCTTTCTTTCTTTGATTTCTTTTTTCCATGATCATTCTTTTTGCTTTCTTTCCATTCTTTCATTCTTTCTTTCTTTCTTTCTTTCTTTGTTTCTTTCTTTCTTTCTTTCTTTCTTTGGCCCTTTCTTTCCCTCCATGATTCTTTCTTTTTTTTTTCTTTCTTTCATTAATTTTTTATTTCTTTCCATGTTTCATTCTTTCTTTTGTATTCTTTCTTTCTTTCTTTCTTTCTTTCTTTTTTTTTTCTTTTTTTTTCTTTGACCTTTCTTTCCCTCCATGATTCTTTTTTTTTTTTTCTTTCATTTTTTTTTTTCTTTTCCATGTTTCATTCTTTTCTTTTGTAGCTTTTTCTTTCTTTCTTTCTTTTTCTTTTTTTTTCTTTTTTGGCCCTTCTTTTCCCCCTCCATGATTCTTTCTTTTTTCTTTCTTTCATTATTTTTGCTTTCTTTCCATGTTTCATTCTTTCTTTGATGCTTTCTTTCTTTCTTTCTTTTCTTTCTTTTTTCTTTTTCTTTTCTTTTCCCTCCCTTTCTTTCTTTTTTTTTTCTTTCTTTCTTTTTTCTTTTGCTTTAATTTTGCTTTCTTTCCATGTTTCATTCTTTCTTTCTTTCTTTCTTTCTTTTCTTTCTTTTTTTTGGCCCTTTCTTTCCCTCCATTCTTTTTTCTTTTTTCTTTCATTAATTTTGCTTTCTTTCCATTCATTTCATTTTCTTTGCTTTCTTTCTTTCTTTCTTTCTTTTCTTTCTTTCTTTCTTTTTTTTTTGGATCTTTTTTTTTCCATGATTCTTTCTTTTTCTTTTTTTTTCATTAATTTTTTCTTTCTTTCCATGTTTCATTCTTTCTTTGTAGCTTTCTTTCTTTCTTTCTTTCTTTCTTTCTTTCTTTCTTTCTTTCTTTTGACCCTTTCTTTCCTCCATGATTCTTTCTTTTTTTTCTTTCTTTCATTAATTTTTTCTTTTCTTTCCAATTTTCATTCTTTTCTTTGACGCTTTCTTTTCTTTCTTTCTTTTCTTTCTTTCTTTCTTTCTTTCTTGACCCTTTTTTCCATGATTCTTTAATTTTTCTTTTCTTTCCATGTTTTTTTCTTTCTTTTTGTGCTTTCTTTCTTTTTTTTCTAGCTTTCTTTCTCTTTTTCTTTCTTTCTTTTGCTTTCTTTGACCTTTCTTTCCTTCCATGATTCTTTCTTTTTTCTTTCTTTCATTAATTTTTGCTTTCTTTCCATGATTTCTTTTTCATTTCTTTCCATTCTTTCTTTTCTTTCTTTCAATAATTTGACCCATTTCTTTCCTCCACAATTCATGCTTTTTTCTTTCTTTCCTACCTCAAGTCTTTCTTTACAATAATTCTTTCTTTTGAGGACAAGACAATCGAATCTTTCATTTCTTTCTTTTTTCTCAAATTTCCACGATTGACCTTTCTTTCCTCCACATTTTCGGAAAGACTTTCAGATTAATTTTTATTTCTTTCCATGTTTCATCACTCTTTGCTTTCTTTACTTTGCATTGGGGACTTTCTTTCTTTCTTTTCATTTCTTTCCATGCCATGATTCTTTCTTTTTTAATTCTTTCATTTAATTTTAACGTCTTTCCATGTTTCATTTCTTTCCATGCCGCAAATATTCGCTTACAATGATTACATTTAGGGACGAACAGTAGTCTTGTTTCATTTCGTTCATGCCTCAATGACCAGTACAATAGTTGCCACATTTGGGACGAACAATCTGATACTGTTTCATTTCTTTCCATGCCTCAAATCTTCACGCTTACAATTGCGCCACGTTTAGGGACAAGACAATCAGATTGTTTCATTTTCTTTCGTGCACTCAAATCCACCACGATTACAAATCTTTACCACATTTAGGACAAGACAATCAGATACTGTTTTCATTTCTTTCCATGCCTCAATCTTTCTTTAATAATTGCACCACATTTAGGGACAAGACAATCAGATACTGCTGTTCTTTCATGCTTCAAATGACCACGATTACAATAATTTTTCCACATTTAGGGGACAGACAATCAGATACTGTTTCATTTCTTTCCATGCACTCAAATCACCAATATTACAATAATTACACCACATTTAGGGATAAGACAATCAGATACTGTTTCATTTCTTCCATGCGTCAAATCACCACGCTTATAATAATTACACCACATTTAGGGACAAGACAATCCCAGATATTGTTTCATTCCTTTTTTTCCATGCCTCAAATCACCACGATTACAATAATTAAACCACATTTGGGGACAAGACAATCAGATACTGTTTCCGTTCTTTCCATACCACGATTACAATATTAACATTTATTACTCATTTCTTTCGAAAATAATTACAATAATTACCACATTTAGGGACAAGACAATCTGAATACTGTTTCATTTCTTTTCCATACCTCAAATCAACGGGATTACAATAATTAATCTACATTTAGGGGATAGGACAATCGATATTTGTTCATTTCTTTTCATACCTCAAATCAATCACGATTACGAAAAGAATTACACCAAATTTGGGACGAGATACAATCAGATACTGTTTCATTTCTTTCATGCCTCAAATCACCACGATTACAATAATTGCACCACATTAAGGGGAACAATCAGATACTGTTTTCATTCTTTCCCTTTCAAGTCATACGCCTTTTAGGGACAAGACAATCAATTTCTTCAGGCCTCAAATATTACGATTACAATAATTACACCACATTTGAGGAAAGACAATCAATACTGTTTCATTTCCTTCCATGCCTCAAATCACCACGCTTACAATATTACCACATTTAGGGACAGAAAATCAGATATTGTTTCATTTCTTTCATCCATGCCTCAAATCACCAGGCTTACAATAATTACACCATTTAGGGACAAGACAATCAGATGCTGTTTTTCATTTCTTTCCATACCTCAAATGACCACATACAATAATTACACCACATTTAGGACAAGACAATCAGATGTTATTTCATTTCTTTCATGCCTCAAATGACCAATTACAATAATTACCACATTTGGGGACAGACAATCTGATACTGTTCATTTCTTTCCATGCCTCAAATCACCACGCTTACAATAATTACACCACTTTTAGGGACAAGACAATCAGATATTGTTTCGTTTCTTTCATGCCTCAAATCACCATGATTACAAAATTACACCCGTTTAGGGACAGACAATCCAGATAATGTTTCATTCTTCCTCAAATCACCACGATTACAATAATTGCAACCCCATTTAGGGACAAGATTGCAATCAGATACTGTTTCATTTCTTTCCATACTTCAAATGACCACGATTACAATAATTACACCACATTTTGGGACAAGACAATCAGATACTGTTTCAGCCTTTTCTATGCCTCAAATGACCACGATTACAAAATTGCACCACATTTAGGGACAAGACAATCAGATACTGTTTCATTTCTTTCCGGCCTCAAATCAAATACAATAATTGCACGTTTAGGGGACAATCAATGTTATTACTTTCACCTCAAATAGGGACAATTACCTAATTGGAACAGATCAATCTGTTTCATTTCCTTCCATGCCTCAAATCACCACGCTTACAATAATTACACCACATTTAGGGACAAGACAATCAGATACTGTTTCATTTCTTTCCATGCCTCAAATGACCACGATTACAATAATTAAGTCACCACATTTAAGGACAACAATCAGATACTGTTTCATTTTCTTTCGAAAATCCACGATTACAATAATTACACCACATTTAGGGGAAAGACAATCAGATTTTCATTTCTTTCCATGCCTCAAATCACCACGATTACAATAATTACACCAATTTGACAAGACAATCAGATACTGTTTCATTTCTTCCATGCCTCAAATCACCAGGCTTACAATAATTACACCACATTTAGGGACAAGACAATCAGATACTGTTTCATTTCTTTCCATTTAGCTTCAAATCTATTTGATGCGATTACAATAATTACACCACATACTGTTTCATTTCTTTCAGGGACAAGACAATCAGATACTGTTTCATTTCTTTCCGTGCCTCAAATCACCACGATTACAATAATTACACGAAATTTAGGGACAAGACAATCAGATACTATTTCATTTCTTTTCCAAAATCACCACGATTACAATAATTACACCACATTAAGTGACAAGACAATCAGATAATGTTTCATTTCTTTCCTCAAATCACCACGCTTACAATAATTACACCACATTTAGGGACAAGACAATCAGATACTGTTTCATTTCTTTCCATGCCTCAAATCAACGATTACAAAAAATTGCCACATTTAGGGACAAGACAATCAGATACTGTTTCATTTCTTCCATGCGTCAAATGACCTTACAAAATTACACCACATTTGGGGACAAGACAATCAGATACTGTTTCATTATGCCTCAAATCAATTACACCACATTTAGGGACAAGACAATCAGATATTGTTTCATTTCTTTCATGCCTCAAATCACCACGATTACAATAATTACAACATTTAATTACACCACCTCAAATTTAGGGACAAGACAATCAGATACTGTTTCATTTCTTTCCAAATCACCACGCCTTACAAATTTAGGGACAAGACAATCGATATTGTTTCATTCAATAATTACACCAATTTTACATTGAGACAAGACAATCAGATATCGTTTCATTTCTTTCATTACCTCAAATGACCACGATTACAACACAATCTGATACTGTTTCATTTCTTTCCAGGCCTCAATCACCACGCTTACACCACTTTTAGGACAAGACAATCAGATACTGTTCATTTCTTTCCATGCCTCAAATCACCACGATTACAATAATTACACACATTGGGACAAGACAATCAGATAATGTTTCATTTCTTTCCATACCCTCAAAATCACCACGCTTACAATAATTTACCATATTTAGAGAATACAATCAGATACTGTTCATTTTCCATGCCTCAAAATCGCCACGACAGAAATAATTGCTCACATTTAGGGATGATATTTGATAGTTTATTTCTTTCCATGCCTCAAATCACTACGCCATAATAATTACAGCACCATTTTAGGGACAAGAATCAGATATTGTTTTCCTCATTTCTTTTCATGCCTCAAATTACCACGGACATGGGGCCAATATGACCACATTTAGGGACACAATCAGATAATAAGTTTACTTTTCTTTCCATGCCTCAAATCACCACGATTACAATACACACCACATTGTGATCAAAGACAATCAGATACTGTTTCATTTCTTTCCATGCTTCAAATCACCACGATTACAATAATTACACCACATTTAGGGACAAGACAAGCAGATATTGTTTCATTTCATTCCATGCCTCAAATGACCACGATTACACACTACACCACATTTAGGGACAAGCAATCAGATACTGTTTCCATTTCTTTCCATAAATCAAATCACGCTTATAATAATTACACCACATTTAGGGACAAGACAATCAGATACTGTTTCATTTCTTTCCGGGCCTTACAATAATTACACCACGACTTACAATGCCTCAAATGACCACGATTACCATAATTACACTTTTGGGACAAGACAATCGAATGTTGTTTCATTTCTTTCCATGCCTCAAATCACCACGTTACAATAATTACACCACATTAGAGGAAAAGAACAATCAGATACTGTTTCATTTCTTTCCATGCCTCAAATCACGATTACAATAATTACACGACATTTGGGGACAAGACAATCAGATACTGTTTCATTTCTTCCATGCCTCAAATGACCACGCTTACAATAATTACACCACATTTGGGGACAAGACAATAAGATACTGTTTCATTTCTTTTCATGCCTCAAATGACCACGATTACAATTTAACAGAAAAAATTACTGTTTCTTCATGCCTCTTTTAGGGGACAAGACAATCCAGATATTGTTTCATTTCTTTTCCATGCCCTCAAATCACCACGCCGATTACAATGATTACACCACATTTAGGGACAAGACAATCAGATAATGTTTCATTTCGTTTCCAT